CTCTCAAACTACTACCCAATTTAGAATCCAATATGTTTGATTTCTCAGGAAGATTTCATTGACACTTGACGTATTCAAATCTTCAACCCTGATTGTCCAGTGTTAAATACTTCTCATAAACCTACTGTACTGCATCATGCCTGCATGCGCAGCTCCTTTAATGTACAGTATTGCGTACTGTACTGTACTGCAAGGCAAGCACTAGTACAGTATGTGCCAGAAATTTCAATCTCTTATGGTGGTGGGCCTTAGTATCCATTGCGCGCAGTGATTGTCTGACTGGGAAAGTTCCTAATTCCCAGTGATTGCTTCAAAAATTATCGTAGTGCCACACCTGAATTGCATACGTGGTCTGTTACGCACCTAAGTTTCTTGAAGACGTGTGCTTGGGAGCCTTAATGGACAAGTTGAATAGAATAAAACTGCGTGAACTACTCCCGTGGAAAATATTTATTTGCGTCTTTGGGCATCAAACAGAATGCGTGGCCTGAAGTCGCAAAGCTCCACCGTTGGTGTGTTGTAAATGCTATTGAGAGGTAAGTGCACCTCCGAGATGTTGTTCGATCGCCCGCATTGGGATAGTGGGAAATTTAAATATTGAAACCCTGCATCCAGATTTTCTGATTTCCCTTATGAATTCAGGCTCCCTGCAACAATCCTGGGCTGACAACCGCGGCGCACAGTGCCGTGACGAAGACCCTTGATGGGATAATAGGTCCTCCCGGGACAATCGCAGGGGACCACCTGACCGTAACTCTTGTCACTTTTGTGCGGGACAACATACACCTACCAGATGTCCGCTCTCTCTCTCAATGAGCGGCAGCAAGCGGTATGCCGACAATGACTATGCCAAAATTTTCTCAGGCGCAACCACTATGTAAATGTCTGTCCTGTGGCAGGCCACTGTCAACATTGCCAGCAACCCCACCATTTGACAACATGCAACAGGGGCCATCAGCACAATGCGGCTGCCCCTCAAGCTGCTGTGTTGGCACCGGCCATCCAGGAAGCCGTGTCTGCTGCACCCGCGGCGGCTGCCCTTGCGGCCACACCTGCAGCACCAGCCAAACCCGCAGCAGCCCCCACGGCTCTGGTGCGTGTGGCACCTGCGGCATGACAACCACCAGCGGCAGAGCGCCAAATGGTCCTGGTAGTCTCAGCTCCAACACCAGGGCCCACATGCGCATTTATGGAGACAGCCGCCATCCAATTGGAGCCGTCAGGGCAGACCGTGCATGCCCTCCTTGACTCCGGGGCCCAATTGACCCTGATCACCCATGACCTTGTTCAGAGACTTGGGCTCCCTATCAAATCTTGCCCACCATACAACATTGGGGGTGTTGAACAGGGCCAACCCGTTACTACCTCAGAGGCAGTTTGCCTTACATTTACCAGCCTAGTAACTGCGTTGCGGAGATTCAAAACAATTTTGGTTGTTGTACCTCACAACACGCCATGGAAAGGCTCAAACCCATGTGCCCTACCCTGGCTTGAAAAATTTGACCTGGCAGATCAGCGCATCCTAACTGAGAAAGCCCTATCCTTTGATGTTATGCTGGGGGGCGCTGATCTTGTCCAGCTCCATCAAGACACGGCACCACCCATCAAGATAGCTGGGTTCCTTGGCATTCCCACACATCTTGGGTTGGTTGCACAAGGCACGTGGGTGGCCCAGAGATCACTGGGACCACTCCCTGCACCCAGGGTCTGCATGGCCCTCGAGGCACCGCATCTGGTCTTGGATGGGGAACTCAATAGTCTCATCCTTCAGTACAAGTACCAAGATCACATCAACATACTTGGCAATCCTTGGGAGGAACAATGCTCCCGTGATGAGCAGTTTCAGGACTACCTGTGCCTACTCAATGTCAGTCCAGGGGGTTGGGTTGTTGCCCCCGTCCTCGAGACCTTGCTGTACCCGGCCCAGTGCAAACCAAATCTGCATGCAGGGGCCCAGCGGAGTCAGTCAGTCATCAAGCTCACACGCGCTGGCAGCCCTTTGGCCCAGGCCTATGAGGAATTTTTTAAGAACTGGATTGACAAAGGCGCCATTACGCCAACCACCTTGGACAAAATGAATGCACAAGGCATTTCATACACAGAGTTGCTGCATCATGGGGTTGCGCGGCCATCCAGTGCATCAACACCCCTTAGGGTGGTCATGGCAGGGAACGCCGCTGACCCAGGCAACCTCTCATGTAATCAATTTTTCAGCCAAGGGGCAAATATTCTACCCTGCATCACAGAAATACTCTTGGGGTGGCGGTTCACTGAGTCTTTTGCCGTTGGAGACATACGCAAAGCATTTGTGCAGGTTGAAATCGCTCCCAAAGACCAATGGGTTCTTATCATTTGCTGGCCTGAGCTGCAACCCGATGGGAGCATCATACCCAGATTTTTCTGCTTTCTGTGACTCCCATGGGGGATAAACTGCGCACGGTTTATGCTCAATGTGGCAGTCCGGTTCTTGTACCGTGAAGCAGTCACTTGAGGCATCATGTCTGAAGCAGAACAGGCCGAATTGGATGCAACCACCTATGTCAATGACTTAATCCTAACTGGGGACACGCCACGGGCAGTCCAAGCCAAGTTGCAACACTCAACTGCAGCTCTGAAACTTGGAAGCTTTGATCTCACAAAAATTCGCACGTCCTATCCCAGAGGAGACACTCCAGTGGATGACAAACCATACAAGGTCTTGGGGGCCGTCTATATGCCTAAAGCAGACACTATCCGCGTCTGCACAGAATCCTTGGCAGAGCTCCTGAAGTGCCCGCGCCTTCAAAAACCCCCAATTGTGGGAGTTGAGGGCCGTCTTTTTGACTTGCCTGGCCTTATAACACCCTTCATCACCACAATCGAGGCGATGTGCCAGAGATTTGATGAGGCACACCCAAAGGCACCATGGGAATATCTTCTCACAAGAAAGGAGACAAAGCACTGGCACGACCTCATCCAACAGGCGCTCCAAGCAGCCGCCCTGAAGGTGCCACGCAAAGTTGCCAAGAAGGTGCGCAGACCAGGCGATATTCACGTCTTCTCTGATGCAAGCAGCATTGCATTAGGTGTGGCTGTACATTTTACATCTCGGGGTCCAAAGCCTCAAATGCGGCTGGTCTGGGGAAAATCCAAAGTCATCCACAAGGCATGCAGACTGGAACCTGGCCAAGTCCTTCCGCCCTTCCGGATCAACTGCCTCAAGCTGGCGGCAGCCACTTCAGCCACACAAATGATGCAGGCACTTGCCCTCAAAGTGGACCTATGCTTGCACACCATCCACTATTGGATGGATTCGGCCGTCTCACTGGCATGGATACAAAACGCAGCGGCGCAAACTGACTGCTATGTCCAGACCAGGGCACAAAAGATCGCGGCTAGCACTGCCATCCAGCAATGGCTTCACACACCTGGCACGGAAAATCCTGCTGATCTTGCCTCTCGCGGATGTGACACGGCAACCTTAAAACAAGCCACATTGTGGTGAAATGGCCCCAAATGGCTCCTGCATTGGGACCAGTGGCCACCCAAACCACTCAATGTCCAGGCACATGTGGCACAACGTCAGGAAAACCCCAAACAAGCATATCAGGCAGAATGCCAAACTGTCCTGTCCATTTTTGAGAAGGTCAGGACCTGGGATAAGGTTGAAAAGACCATCATGGCACTCACCAGGTTCAAAGAATTCTTTGTCTGTCACCATTGCCAGGATCCCAAACCTCTTGCAGAACTCCACAGTGGGGCCAAGGTCAACCCATATAGACTGGGATGGACAGCCAAAGAGTGGCGCACCGCCACGGATGATGGGATTCGCATCCTCCAAAAATTCCATGACCATACCGCATGGACCAATGTGACCAACAACCAAAGGAACAAGCGGCGCCGAGACTTGCGCTGGGACCCCAACACACGCTTGGTTATGTCCCGTAGTCAGCAACATACCGACATTTCACTGCCTCGACGGCGGCGCAGACTTGAAGCTCGCAAACAACTGGTCCACATACCCGTACGGCGGATGGGAAAGATTCCTCCCCTCCTGCAAGAGTTCATCCAGTCATATCATGAAAAGTGTCGTCACGCCTCCACAACCTCAATCTTGGAGAAATTAATGCATCGCTACTGGATGAAAGGAGGGGGCAAGACAGTGCGCAACATCATCCGGGAATGTCCAGGGTGCCAGCGGTTTGACAATCTGCCATTGGTACAACCTTTGGCACCTCTTCCACATTACCAATACTCTGGCATGAAGCCATTTGAGACCGTGGGAGTGGATTTTGCAGGGCCATTCCAGACCCTGGATGGGAAAACATTGTCCATCTGCGTATTCTCCTGTCCATTGATCCGCGCAGTGCATCTGGAGCCTGTCAGGGATGTGTCCCTGGAATCATCCATTATGGCATTTAACACCTTTTGCTGTGAACAGGACCTCAGCCCCACCACTGTCATATCAGACAACAGGTCCGCCTTCCGAGCAGCGTGGCCATGGTTCCTGCTTGCAAAAGAAATGGAATTTGAACAGCACTTTGCCCGCAATCACATTCAGTGGAACTTCAATGCAGCACGTGCACCATGGTGGGGCGGGTTCTATGAGTGCATGATGGGAATGATAAAGGGAGTCCTAGCTTGCTCCTTCAAAAGCGTTTGCTTTAAATACCCCGCCATGGTGTATGAAGCGATGAAATACGTGGAGCGGATGTTGAATTCCCGCCCTTTACCGTATCTGCCCACAGATCAGAATGATCCAATATGTATCACTCCTTCCATGTTCCTGAACACGGGGGGAGAGGATCTAACTGATGCAGTGTGGGATCCGTATTGCTATGGTCCCCCACCCATACAATTTTTGAGTACGCTGGTGAAAAAGGCCTACAATGGTGTACCAAGCTGCGCCTGGATTACTTAAAAGATCTATGGCATGCATTCTATGTTGGGTATGTCATCCAACTCCGGGCATTTCCTACACACATGGGCCGCAGACCCACGCACCTGGAACCCCAAGTGGGTCAGGTCGCATTACTCAAAGTCGCAACCTTCAAGGGTGACACACCGATGTCATGCCTGAAATGGAAGCTCTGTCGAATTGTTGAGGTCTGCGCAAGCCCGCGGGATGGCAAAATCTGAGCTGTGGATGTGCTGGTCTCCCGGCGGTACAAAGCCAACGGGACATCAACCCTCCACATTCTGCGCAGCCAATCCATTGCCAACCTCATACCGCTTGAAGTGGACCGGCAGCCAGATCTGCCCAAACCAGCAGACACTCCAGCTTGCGGCACCATGCCGCTGTCCATACTACGTGTACCTCCACCCCCTGAACCCATGGACAATGGTGTCAACTGCGTAGAGCAGGATGATGATGATCTCCTCTATGTGCTACAACAACTCTACATGACAGGACCAGAAAAATAACCATGGCAACGAATGCGGCAGCCCTCAAAGTGGCGGAACCCCTCAAAAACAAATAACAAACAAACATTTCCAAAACCGCACGAACCTCTTAACCGTCCCTGTCTGCGTTGTGGCAACGATTGAAGCGCGACCGCTGGAGCTGATAGGGAATAAGCACGCGCCCTAGCGCGCCCACTGCCCATGCTCCAAAGCATGTTGTTTCCACAATTACCATGCGGTGTCCTGCATGCATGATGATGAAGCCCACCTCCAACAACCCAGTGCGTTGCAGAGGCAGGTCTGAAGGGTTCACCTGCAGGCCCACATGGTTGTAGGTTATTTTGTAGGCGCAAGTGAGGAAGCCTGTGGGGTCGAATCTGGAAAACACAGACTATCCCCATTTCAGTAGTTGGGATTAGTTCAGTAGTTGGGAAAGAGGTTCATCAAATGCTCATCTTGTAAATATATTCAACTTGTTATCTTAGAAATACAGTAACTTACAGAAGACCCCTTTTTGTAATTTCAGAGAAGACCTTTTTAGAAATCCTAGAAATGGGAAATTGCTAAAGCAAATATAATCGCTGCAATTTTCTTGAAGTCTTTACAACTTCCATGGCAAGTTACAGTAACCTTCAAGGAGTAATTAAAATGCAATCAATCTTGAAATCCTGGTGGGCTCAACTCTTTACAAAATGGGAGTGATATTTGTGTCTCTTGCTCTTGTTGTGTCTGGTCATTATCACTGATGTGTAACCAGAGCAATTATATTCCACTCAGAGCAATTCCACCTTGTTCATTTCGTGGATTGGGATTTCCATCATTAGGGTCACGATGATTGTTTCCTTTGTTTCTTACATCTATGCTGGCCAGGTTTAAATACCCGTGCTTGGTGAAATCTCAGAGAGATCTCATCCAAGCTTTGTACCATAAACTCCATAGTTGAAACTCTGTTAAAGCTCAACCCTATTTGAAAGTGAAAGAAAGCTGGACTTGTGTGTTTTTGCATTTGTATTGTTATATTGAATGTTTGTATGTGGATGAGAATATTGTATAAAGGATATTAATCCAGAATAAGAACGTAGTTCTTTTATTCTTGACTCACAGTCCTATAATAGGAAGGACAACAAAATTGGCGCAGTCTGATAGTCCGAAATTTTTCTTTTTTTTGACTTTTTGAGGGGGGTGAGTCGCCTCAGTAAAGTAAAAATAAAGTATTTTTTGTACAAAAATATTGTGAAACACTCAAAGTGTTCAATTCTGAATATTTTACTGAGTGTGAAATTTGCGCGAGATTGCAAAAAGTCTGTCAGTCAGGAGTCTTTGCAAAAAAGTAATCTCTCAAAGTCAGCAAAGAAGAATTGCAGTTTGCTGAATCTACTTGCCGAAGGCCAACAACAGAAATCAAAAACGTGAGTACAAATCTGCATGAGTGAAAGAAAAATCTTGCAAGTCAAAAGAAAAAGAAATTCTTGAAAGAATGTAATTTTTAAGGTTGTCTGGAGAACCTGAGAATAAAACCAGAATAGGTTTTTATTTAGTTGCCTGAAAAATTCATTGGGATATTTTTGCTGCAAGGAACAGGCAGTGTGAAGTAATTTCTATATTCTCTCAGAATCTCTTAGTGTAAAAAGAAAATATTGCTCCCTGAGCAAGAGTAATTATTTGATTTTTTACTAGAGTTTAAAAATTCTGAAAGATTCTCCTTTTGTTTAACATCAAGAAAGAAAGGAGTGAATAGAAATTAAAAAGAAGACAAGAATTCTTTTATTTGTGTCGATTTTGTGAGGAGTGGGATTATATTATTTTTTCTGCGTCGGCCTAAATAAGAGAGAAGGAACCCGCAATTTGGATACGGGTAAATAGGGAATGCGAATTCTTTCTGTCAAAGGATCCGTTTATTTTTCTGACTCGCGATAAACATCGGTGTGCACATAGGTCATATTTTCATTACACAACAATAAGGGGCGCATCACACTAGTATGAAAAATAGAAGAGGGATTTTAGGCAGGAAAGATTTGTTTTAAAGAAAGTAATTATGGGCAGTTCAGTGTTCCTGGAAGAGATGGATTTTATCTAGAAACTGACTGACCCTAGAGAGCAGCTGAAAGAAATCCAACTGTTATTGGATACAGTTGAGAAGCAGTTAAATGCTTCTATGAGGGAAAAGGGTGATGAAGGAAATCCTCCAACATCAGAAAGAGCATTGGTTTTGGAGAAAAACATCCTTAATTTTAACAAGAAAAAGGTTTATTTGGAAACATGGGTAAATACCCTAAAACCCAGCATAGAACAGCTGGAAGAGTCAACAGCGCAAATTGATGCTGCCCAGGCTGAATTGTTGTCACAGCATGATAGGAAAGAGGCTGAGAAGAAGAGGAGGGCCTTGGATGAATTAATTGGTCTAAAGGAATCCATTTTTTGTGGAGATATTTCCTTGGATCAAATAGAGCGTCCAAGTGTCTCTGAAACTCTCTTTTATCAGATAAAAACCAGTAGAGAGGATGGAGCAAGGGGTGGCATGCAAGCCACAAATGCCATCCTCAGCCAGATTCCTTATTTCAAAGGAAAAGATGACCAGCCTTTGGTAGAGTGGTGGAGCATTTTTAAGCTCTCACTCAATGATTGTGATGTTTCCAATAATCAGCTAAAATCTTTGCTCTTACAAAAGCTGAAGGGAACAGCTAGGGATTTTATTCTGGGGATCCCAGGCCTGTTGGACGAAGATTATCAATGCATTGTCCAGACCCAATTAATTAAAACGGCTTGATTTATGGTCAGTTTTACTTCTTTAATGTGCTTATTGCTCTTTTGACAATAAGACTGTGAAAGTTCATTAAGAACTTCTGCTGCAAACTTGTTCTAGAAAGATTGTTCAGCAAGTCGCACTGCTTTAAGATATACTCCAGGAGGTGATCCTGGTTCAAAACTAATTTCTTTTGTAGGAGATAACAAGTTTTGGGGACAGAAAGGAGCCCCATTGTCATCAAAGCCAATTGGCCTGAGATTTATACACAGATCAATTTGTGTGAACATGGTTAGTAGCTCCTCTGTTGAAGAAGGTGCAGTATCTAGCATTTGTTTTGTTAACAGTTTGTACCATTCTTTCAGCCCCACCATTCCAGTGTGGATGATTGACTGGCACAGTTTTAAATTCCATGTGCAGCCCAGCACCATAGAATTCTTTATCTACCTTATCTCTGTTTGATTTATACCATTCTAACCAATCACTAGAACCACCAATGAAGTTGGTTCCATTGTCACTCCAGACTTCATGTACTTGAGCATTTGTGATAGCTAGGAAACATACAAAAGCTTGCAAGAAAGAGTTAGCAGTAGCATTACGGATTCCTTCTACATGAACTGCTCTAACTTTAAGGCAAACTAAAACTAATCCCCACTGTTTAGTGCCATTTTTAAGAGAGATTGGGCCAAACATGTCTAGAGCTACGGAATTCGAAATTGCAATGCCAGTTAATCTATTTCTGTGATATGGAGCTAGAGGAGTTTCAAACCTCTCTAGTCTAACTGCTTTACAGACTAAACAGCTAGCAGAAATGTCTCCAGCAATCTTTGAAGCTTTCATGACATGATACTGTGAGCAAGCTTCTGCTCTTGTTGTCTTTGTGCCTTGACGCCCCACTCTGAGGTGTGCATCCCACATCATACCTTTTCCTATTTCCTCATTTGTAATAATTAAGGGATGTTTTGCATCAAAGCTCAAGTCAGCATTGTGAAAGCGCCCCAGAGCCGTACAGCCCTTTCGGGTCTCCACATTGCTAATGCAATTCCACGTAGCCAACCCTTTGTTACCATTCAGACAACTACATCATCATTTCCATGTTTCAATTTAGATTTCAACTGTGAGTATTCTTCTTTCAATTCCTTTTTCTGCTGATTGATGATGAGCTTCAACATGTCCAATGTACTCAAAGGAGTCTTTATTGGCATTCTTGCAACCAAGCTTGGCAAACATAGCGTATAATTACTAGCTACGTTGGCCTGGCTTGTCACGCATAGTGTCCAATGCTAAGTTGTTTGGGTGTCATCAGGGATTTAGGGACTGCATTTTTTTTTTTGAATACGTTTATTTGTCAAGTACAATGAAGTTCCTGAAAACAGATTTTCATGCTTTTTGCAGGTAATCCAGATCTTGGGTATCCCTTGTTGCTTCACCATCTGACTGGGATTCATCACTTGATGTTGCATCAGCTAACTTCCTCTTCTTTTTTTGCATCACTGGCGGATGTAGTCCTTGCTNGAATTCTTTATCTACCTTATCTCTGTTTGATTTATACCATTCTAACCAATCACTAGAACCACCAATGAAGTTGGTTCCATTGTCACTCCAGACTTCATGTACTTGAGCATTTGTGATAGCTAGGAAATGTACAAAAGCTTGCAAGAAAGAGTTAGCAGTAGCATTACGGATTCCTTCTACATGAACTGCTCTAACTTTAAGGCAAACTAAAACTAATCCCCACTGTTTAGTGCCACTTCCTCCAATGATTGTGTCTTCATCCTCACACGTAAGATTTTCCAAACATGAAAGTCTGCCTGCAGTATTTGTAGCATGATCTTGTAAAATACGTGCATCGCCACAAAATGTTTGCGTGGGAACTATAAAGTCTTTTAATTCTCGAGAATATTACTGACTGTTTACTTAAAGGAGATTAAAGTAATTGCAAAAAGGTCAGTAACCGGTAAAAGACAACATCAGTACTACTCTATTACTTTGTAACGTAACGAACTCATCCGTCTCGTTCAGACACATTGCATTCAATGATGGTGCATTTGCTGAAGCCCAATGACAAAGTACTTGAAGGAAAGACCAGTGTTTTGCAGCACAATGCTGTACATGGCTGCTGCTAGTTGGTACCACGGACGTGTTTGAGTCAGAGCCTACAAGAAGACAAGGTTTTCATTAAACCTCAACATTAACTTTAATATTTGCTCACATACCTTCTATTTCAAAAAAAATTCCGCACACCTCATCTGCACCATTATTAGCTGCTTCTGTAACTTTGCTGGTTGGTACTTCATGTGGTCCACTTTCAGCAGGTAAACTTCTGATGGTTGTATCTTGAAGGCCAACTTGGTGAAAGAAGGCAGCAAGATCCCAAATTCCCCCTAGCAGTAGGTTATCTTTTAGTTCAGCACAAACGGCAGGAGTGAAAGAATGCACCTTCCACTTTTCAATTTGCTCATGTGCTATTCTCTTACATTTCCTACGACTATTTTGCAACGTCACTGTAAATCTCCATTGCAAACTCATTGTACGCACTACTGCAATAATTTCCTTTTCATTAAGGGAATAATTGCCTTCAGCTCCTTCCTTGTTTTTTTCCATCTTAAAAAAGGGAAATCATTACTTATAATCCCTGAGTGAATTTGTAAAAAAAATAGAAACTCAGCTTTGAATTTGATATTCAAATTGTTTTTATTGACAAGATAACAAAGAAGTACAAACAAGCAATAAAAAAAATCACACAAGTCGTCATCACACACACAAAATCCGGTCTCTTTCAGCAACAAAGAAAATTACTCGCACAACATTGTAAAAACATTTGGGTACGCGTGAAATACAAATGAATCAATCAATCAGTCTCATCACTAGAAATGACTAAGAATTGGGCATGTTTCCTTTTCTTTTTGCTCCTACCTAAGCCCCTAAAATCTTCAAAGACCTTCATTGTCCCACTCCTATCTGCCCACACACTTCTGTACCATCTGTTATTCCCACCAATTTTGCACAAAATCGCCTTACATTCACTATCTCTCATATGAGACAACCAAAGTTGAAAGGCTTCACTGATTGTAAATGTTAACTCCTTGTCCATTTCTTGAGGTTGATGCTCTCCTCCTGTCCTTGTAGAGATTGATCTTCTGATGAACTCGTAGACGATACTTAGATATTCTGCAATGATAAAGAGGGTATTAATTAGAAGAACATTACAGTGTCATTTTGTACTAGTGTAACTTACTCATCATTGCGGCCCTCCGATGTTCATGGAGCTGAGATTTTCCCTGGGTCACGTTTGCACCAAATATGTTTTGTCTGACCTGGTTAACTATCGTCTGGAAAGTTTGTCCCGGCCAGAACATCCTTCTGCAGATGTTGTGGTAATCTTGCTTGACCTTCTTTGCATCCTTATCTGTCCTCCCCCATGGTGAAGGCGTCATCGAGATCACTTTGTCAGCAGCTTCCAGAAACAGGTTGTGGTCGTTGAGGCGGATTGACAACCCATTGTCAACATAGATAAGTTGCACTTTGGTATTTCCAAGAACTTCTTTATAGCTGAAGCTTTCCAGCTTATCCAGGTCCTTCCTGCAGTCAAACACTGAAGGAAGGCTCCCATGCATGTGTGCAATCTTTCTTTGCTTACTAGCATGGGTATCACTGTCCGTGGAAATGGTCCCAACTCCACTTCCATGAAGTCCCAATTGTCTTCCTTGTAAAAGACATCAGCTTTGAGTACTCTCATGTACAAGACAACTGTAGGTCAAAAATGGGCCTCGTACACTAGGCAATAAATTTCTGACACCCTATCCATGCCTGCCTTGAGTTCCTCATCTGTAAAACCCAGCTTCTCTTGATCCTCACAAATAAACGTGAACACACTGGCATCTGATGGTTTTTTGATAGTGTGATTGTTCAAGGTTCTTTTCATTTCATCCAGTGCCATTTGTTGTTCCTTGGACAGCTGGACACAATTTTGTTCCAGAGAGAGGAGGAAAGGCAGGACTTGCTGAGAGATGAAATGATTCTCATCTACCAGGGCAAGCCTAGCCATTGGTTTCAGCAATTTGTAGACGTCATTATGATTTTCTTCTGCACGTGATGTATGAAAATCTGTGAAACAGAAAACAAGTGATGATAAATTGTAACATAGGAAAGTCAGGCAATGAATAAAGCAAGAATGACTAAGACTTGAATTCGTGATTGATTAAGACTTGAATTTGAGCTTTTACCTTTGGATGATATCATGGATGCTGAATCTGAATGCACGGCACTTGCCCCATCAGTCTCTGCGTAAACCTCATCTTCTTTTTTGAAGTAAGAATCTAAAAAATAAGGAAAAACGCGTTAGTTAACTAAGATGGGAAGTTAAATAATGATGTATAATGAGTAATGTGTCTATAATGTCTATAATGTGCATCACAGCGTAATGGTAAATGTACCACCAAGTATTAAAATTTAAATTAGGAAGATTTTTACAATTATGAATTACGAACAAAATAATCACTTATTAATAATGACTCTCACCATCTACTACTATGTCGCCTTCTAATAATACGTAATGTTCATCCTCATGATTTCCTGTTGACACACGTTGTTCCATATTCTGCAGCCCGGCAAGTAGCCCTCCGTCATGGTCTTCTTCATCCTCATTGTCAGCATGTCCTATGGAAAGTATGCAATGAGAATAAACTTGAAAGAAGTGCAATATACTGTTGTACAAAATACAGGACTAGAAATTGATCATTTATTATGCTAAATTTATGAAGAAGTAATCAATTGTTAATGTCTATGACCTTCTATTACTATGTTGCCTTCTGATAATACATATTCTTCATCATTGGGAATTCCTGTTGACACACAGTGGTCCATATTCAGCAGCTGGGCAAGTGCCGATTTGTCATGGTTCTCCTCATCCTCAATGTCTGCATGCCCTAAAAGAATTATTAAATTATTCATCAAGTTAATTTCACACATTCATCACACATTTAGTTATAAAAATCCAAATGATGCATACATAAATCAAGTAGAATTTACTAACCAGTATTTTGCATTGGTGTTGCTGGGGTGTTTGGATGCAAGGAATGGGGGCTCCATGATGAAGGTACAGGGGAGGGTCCTAAATCATCCTGTAATTGCAGACCTTCAACAGTTTGGACTTCTTCTTTCTTGAAAGCTGGAATTTCCGTGAGATGTGCAATTGCTGTGGATGAGGAAAATGCTGAATTAATAACAAATACTGTCATTATATGTAATTGAAGGCAATGTTATAACCACAGTACTTCTCCATGTTCTTCACAACAAATTTCTGGAGTGCAAGAACACAGGATGCTCCTTCATTTCCTTCCTTGAAGCAGATATTCAAACAATCCTTTGCTTCATCAACGATGTCATCAAAGGTTGCAGACACATACACACTCATGTCACCTTTCTTCCACATTTCACTCCGCACATTCTTAATTGCGCCTTTAAAGGCTCTGAACAATGCCACTGCATTCAATTGAGACGGCTCAATTTGCAGCACATTATCCACTTTCAAAACTTTCATTGTATTCACTCGGAAAGTTATTCAACGAGTACACCTGTGGACAAAGGGAAATGGAAATTCATCATCATCAAAATCATGAAAAAATTAAACATACACAAAGAATATGCCATACTATAAGATATGCTGTTTCAAAAGATTATTTCATACATATTCTTTCTGACATAATATCTTACTAATACTTGACATTTTTTACTGTAGCATATTTCACAAACACAACATCATCACCATCTTTTAACTCTTTCCTCTTCAAATTATTTTTAAAATGCTTCTTTATTTCCTTATTTTTTCTTTCCAAATCATCATTGAATAGGAAAATTCTTGAAGCTTGCAATTCATTCACAGACATTACACTGTCACTTTCTTCTTCTTGAACATCTGATGAGGTGCCAGTTGAAGAACACCTCTTCTCAACCTCGTCTTCGACTAGAAGGATGTAAATCTTTTTGACGGATTTGGCACTTTTCTTCCTGCAATATATGAATGATGATACATGAAGAAATGAAATTTCAAATGAGCAGTCATAACCACTAACCCAAGTCCAAGGAGATCATCAACTTTTCCCTCCAATAATGCAATCCTTTTCATCAGTAAGATGAGCAGCTTCTTCTGCACTTCATCACCTCTGGTTTCGTATTCCCACTCAGCATCGGTTTTAGGTCTGTTAAAATTGACATAATTAGAAAATGCTAAAATATGAAGATCCAGTGTGTACTTACATCTTTGTCAGCTTCAACTTTGATAGAGTTGGAGGTGGGACATGTTGTGGAATTTCAGTTGCTGCCAGGTTGGGTCTGTTTGACGGAAACTTGTTCAATCCATGAAACAACCACTCTTGATAAATGGTTGGACTGCAGTAGTGCCTGACAAAGGGTTCAAATGGAAACCTCACGTTGTTTCTTCAGCACTGAAATATATAAAGAAAAAAATGCATTAATTTTGGTACAATATTAAGAAATGAATTATAACACAAAAAAATTACATACCCCTCACAACTGCAGAACTTTGCCCTTAGCCCGTAGTCCACCCACAGTGGAATAGCAAAGTTAATGGCCACATTCAGATTGAGGCCAGTATTGAATCCAGCATGTGGTCCTCTTGGTGTTGTGATGATGAACTGGTAAGGATGTTGAACTGCCACACACGCATTGAGGCAGTAATGGTCCAACCAGACTTCATCAAAGGCATAAATCTTATGCCTTGGTAAGGTTCCGCATTCAGGAAAGTCCTTCCCAATCGCACACTCCACAATGTTTTTGTATTCAGGAACCTCACGTGCACCCATGCTGTACCTGAGAGTATATTAAATTTCTGACAAATTATAATGTATCATTGAAGTTAAGTATGCAATAAAGTATGTATCCTTACCAAATCTTGGGATATCCATCCCAGTGCAGGTTAACTGAGAAGAGGTCCATATCCTCACAGTGCATGGGGAAAGAAGAGTTACGGGTGCCAATGAAGAAGAAAGGAGAGTTCACTCCTTCAAAGGACAACATGGGATCAAAGCTTGTACTCAGGTTTCCAAGAATTGATCACTGTAAATCACTCAGAGCTGCACAAAATGTCCCCTGCAAATAGAAATTATACTAATGTTAATATCACCACTTTAATTTAAAGATACTCTAGTATACAGTATATAAAAATATGCACTTACATCTTTTGGCCTGGCCTTCTCCTGTATTATTTTTTCCAGCCTGGCAGGATCAAGTTCTGAAACAGTCATTTCCGTCACATATTTCACTGTTGGACTTCTCTGGCCAACTTCCAGAGCACGTAGGCTTGACCAGTGAACCTTTCTATTTTCTTCCTCACTTGATGATGCTCCGGCCTTTGTGCGTTCCACCTTTGGATCCAATTTTGGTGGATGTTGAAGAATACATGCTCCACCACCAACAGAATGTGGATGCGTCACTCCTTCTATCCTTGCCAGGTCAAAAAATTCCTGGGCAGTCTTGATTGTTTGGGTGCATTGCTTGATAACACTGGCATATATGCCACGCCCATGTACCTTCTCCATTTCCTGGTCAAAAACCCTTCCAATGGGTTTATTACAAAGTCTTGACCACAAGGTGTTGTCTTCTCCATCTGCAGCCCAAGTGATGAGGCCTTTGCCTATCGGGTCCAAACTTTTGATCAATTCCGACCTGGTCAAAAACCCTTCCTATGGGTTTATTCCAAAGTCTTGACCACAAGGTGTTGTCTTCTCCATCTGCAGCCCAAGTCATGAGGCCTTTGCCTATCGGGTCCAAACTTTTGATCAATTCGGCGGAACACTTTAACTTGAAGATTCCATCAACCCACGCGCGCTTCTAAAAAAAAATGTGGGTGATGAACTCTCCAAGCCTTGCATATTCCTCGACACCAATTTCGTAGGTTCGGCACTTGCGCACACCAACAAAGTCTTCATACAAAGACATTTCGTATATGACAAATGACCTGGAATATTCAAGTATAAATTTGTCAGCATACTAAACATGATACTTTCGTCAATACAGAGCAACAATTAGCAAAAATTCTCGCTACCAGCCTCAATAGGCTTTAAAATGAGGACATGGAATACATGGAATGCAAACAAGCACCACACACCTTCACATCACAGTTGTTAACTTTATTCAAAAAACTAATATTGAGTAATAATACAGCACTCATCCATTGTACAGTATATCACTTTTGTTCTATAATTTTTATGGCTTCCCCATAAAAAGCCAGGATTCTCCCTTATTGAAAACTGTTGAACCTCCGGGCGCAGCCATGTTTTACCACTCCTGCCCTCTGATTGTATTTGGTCTAACAAAAGGGATTTTGCAATGGTATTTCAAAACGCATAATGTAATATTAAGTAGCCAGAATGGTCAAGTTGTCTAAGGCGCGCTGCGCTCAGGTCACCGTCTGGTTTCTGAAGGCGTGGGTTCGAATCCCACTTCCGCAACCGTTTTTTTTTTTGTAGAGCGTCCAAACTGCGCACAATCTACTACTTGTTTCAACACAGTCTGGTTTCTGCAGGCGTGGGTTTGGATCCCACTTCTGCAATCGTTTTCCTTTTTTTGTTTCTTTGTCCGCACTGCGGACACTACTACTTGTTTTAACCCAGTGAGCGATAATTATTGCTCACCGGGATTAGCGAGAATTATCGCGCATCCCGATGAGGAAGAATGCTCGCTCAGCGATGCAAAAGCTCTTCTAACTATCACGCACTGAATGAGGATTATTTTAATAATATTACAGCGCGATATGCAGAGGCAATAGCCCATGCATACGTCATCAAGTTTACCTATTCTTTTTTTTATTGGAACTATTTCATAGAGCATTCATTCATTCATGCCTATACATCATACATTAATATAAATACACTATTCATTTATATAAATCTATAAATTTACAACATCATACATATGTTAAACCAATTAAGATTGGAGCAATGATTCTCAACCAGAAATATACGTATCCACTCTAAACTGAGAAGTCGTGTTTTACTTACAAACCCCGGCCATAAGAACAAAATCTTCTCGTTGAAAGTTTGTCTTAGAGAATTTACATTCACTAGATTAATTGACTTTGTAGAAAAGACGTTTTCTCCAGATAAAAAGTGTCTTAAGATAAAATTCTTACGGAATTAGGACAACAATACACTATTCATTTATATAAATCTATAAATTTACAACATCATACATATGTGTAAACCAATTAAGATTGGAGCAATGATTCTCTTCTCCCAGCGCCCGCTGAGCAAGGATTCTTGCTTGGAAGGCAAGAATTTATTGCCACCATCACCCCTGGGAATAATCCTCACTAGGGTCCTTTCTGGACGCGGCCTGGACGCGTACAATTTTGAATCTTTTGGACGCGTCCATTCTGGATGCTCTACGGACCTGTACTACACGAGTCTTCCTGGGATGCATCCTAACGCTTGCAAATGTGGACGTGTCCATTTCATCGTCCTCATACCGTCCCCTGGGGACATGTCCCCATCAGACCCTTCATGTACCAGACCACAAAGCGTCCCTTTTGAACGCGTTCATATTTTTGGGGGTTGGACTCTTCCTTTATTAGACGCATCCTTTCAGTGTCTTTTTTGGACCTGCCCCACATTTTTGCGCTAGGTTTTCCTGGGTGGTTTTACAAAATCAATTCCTATCTTCTGAAAGGGAGTTTTCCCTGTATAACAAAAGTCTGGTAGTGGGGCTATTGGTGCCTGATAAGGCTTTGCATCAAATCTTCTACAATGGAAACACTCTCTTCTAACCTGTTTTGCTATTTGCGTGCTTCTGGTGCCCAATATGTCATTGATTGTGTTGTTAGAATTCAATTTATGGAGCAATGTCCATTATTTCTATGTATTGATGTTAGTAATGATTTTATTAAGTTAGGCTTTTGACCTTTTTTGAGTACTGGTAGGTATATTAGAGTTTGATGGACCGGGTCATCAATTGGTACATTTGTTTGAAGATCTATTGCTTGGCGACTTTTGTAGACTATGTATTTGTTTGTTTCATCCCATTCAAGATCTGGTTTTTCTATAATTTTATTTCATTTTTTTAGAGTTGTCCATTCATTGTATGCGTAGCTTTTTTGTATGAGTCCTATTGCCAATTTTTCTGCTAGCTGATTTTCTAAGACTGTGAAATCTTCTCTTAATGGTTGAAAGTTAATTTTCATCCTTTTTCTTGTATCTTTACGGTGTTTGAAAAATCCAGCTGCAATTAGTATTGGCATGAATATCTTCCATGCTGCAATACGTTTTATTACGTTTCTCCAAGGGAATATTCCAGTAAAGATTTTTGTCATTGTTAAATCCTAACTTAGACATTTCCCAATCACAGAAAAGATTTCTGGCAAGAGATCTGCACTCTACCAGGAGAGGAACATGAATGACCCGAAAATACAATGCATATTTCAAGCTATCTAGAAATTTGCAAAGCAATCTTGTCTTCAAATCTTTCAATCAAAAGGAAGTCAGGAATCATTCCTTTCTTTCCTAGAATCTATTCTAACATCCCTTATGA